GCCGCCGCTGCTGCTGCCCCTGATGGCCGCCGCTCCCTCCTCGGCCTCCTGCTCCTCCTCCTCGGGCGGCGGCGGCGGCGGGGCTCCGCTGGCCCGGCTGCAGGGCCGCGACTTCGAGTTCCTGATGCGCCAGGCGGCGGTGAGCATCGGGCGCAACTCCTCGCAGGGCGCGGTGGACGTGCACATGGGCCACTCCAGCTTCATCTCCCGCCGCCACCTGGAGCTGGCCTTCCGCGCGCCCCACTTCTTCCTCCGCTGCCTCGGCAAGAACGGCGTCTTCGTCGACGGCGCCTTCCAGCGGCGGGGCGGGCCGCCCCTCCAGCTGCCCCCGCAGTAAGTGCCGGCCGGCGCGGGAGGAGGAGAGGAGGAGCGGCTGGGGATGGCGGTGGCGCCCGCCGCGGGCCCGGTTGGGGATGCAGCTAGGCGAACGGAGGGGGGGGGGAGAGGAGGAGGAGGAGGAGGAGGAGACGACGCGCGGGTGGGCGGTTCCGAAGGGAGGGAGGGGGCCGACACGTGTCGGGGCCGGTGCGGGAGGATTTGTTGACAGGGCTCGTTGCGCGCGCGGGCGAGTCGCGGTCTTGGGAAAGGGGCAAGAATAACCGGCGTTCCCCAAGCGCGCTTGGCAGGCATTCTGTGTGTCTGTGTGTATGTTTGTGTTGTATGTTTGTGGGGGGGGGGTCGTGGGAAGAGGCATTTGCAAGGCAGGCTGGAGAGGAAGGGGCTCCCCCCTACCCAGGAAAGGTCTGGGAATGGGAGAGGGGAGCCTCTGAAAAGGGGGTGTCCCTCTGGAAGAAGGGGACCACGGTTGAGAAGGGGACTCTGGCTGGGGAAGGCAGGCCTACCTTGCAGGGGGCCGGTGTTTTGAGTTTTGTCTGACATTCGTTCTTCATCCAACTCCTGACAGAGTCGGGATGGTGCTATGGGGTTCGCACAATCCACTGGACCCTCCTTAAGGACACAGAGGAGGTGCATGCACCCCTAAATGATGGGGGGGAGGGAGCAACGACTTCAATCGTGGAATGGCCTCGTGGATAGGTTCGCCCAACAGGCTCCATCCGTGGCAGGTTATCAGAAGGCACCTACTGGCCTTGCATGCTGGTTCAGCGGGGTGGGTGAACCCCCAAAACAGGGGTCTCTTTTAAAAAGCCTTTGGGGGGGTGGGCCTTGATGGGGTGGGGAATCAAAGCCAGAGGAAGTGGCTAGGCCTTGCATCTGGAAGGCGTTTACATGGTAGGTTTCCTGGTCTAGCTTAGAGAAGGGGAAGAAATTGGAGGGTCTTTTAGAGGAGTGGGGGGGAGCGTTGAAGGACTGGAGAAACTTCACCCCCGACTCTCCACGCCCATAGTGGGGAACCCTTCCTGTTATAGGGTCATTTCTCCTACCAGTCATTGCTTAATTAATTAGCCGAAGTCAGCTGCTGGGAGCACCACCTCAGGTCTATTTAGAAAGAAAGAGGAGGAAAGTGGGGAGTCCAGACCAACCCCCCCCCAGGCAGAAACCCTACTTTGGGGTCCTTGGGAAAGGACAGAGGTCCCTCTTGACCATCAATCTCAAGCAGCAGCCTGCAAATTGAAGAGATTGGGGGTGATACTGGACACCAAGGGTGGAAGCTAAGCAGCTTAATGAACAAACAGCCAACCCAGCCAAAAGTAAACAAATCCACAATTCAGCTTTGTAAGAGGTGTGAAGGCAACCGTGGTGTTTCCAGAATTGGGATGGGGGGGGGGGCTGTTGTCCCTGATCGCCGCATGTAACATGGCGTAATGTTGCTTTTTAGGGCCATAAGAATGCATGAATTGTGCGTGCTTTACAGTCCAAATTAAACTCAGATATAATATAGAATCCGGGTGTCTTGCTTCCATTTTCTCCTCTGTTCTTTCGCCGTCCCAGCCTGGTTGTGAAAAGGCACAACGCGTGTTGCTTGTTCTGTTGTTAATAGTCCTTCCGGCCTGCTCCATGTGAATTTTCTTGGCAAAGTTGTCGGAAGTGAATTTTCCGGAGTAGCGTTTGTTAGGGCCTGAGAGAAGGAGGGGGGTGTGTGTTTTTTCTGCTTTTAATCCAGCACCTTCGCTGCTACAGGCCTCCGGGGAAATTAGAAAAGGACAAAAAAGCACAACAAAAATTCTGCACATGTTGATATTTAAATCCTATCGTGCAAAAGTTGCCTTTTGGAGCAGTCTTGGATATTTTTGCTTTGTTTGGGTTTATAAAATTGTTTGGAAAGTAGTTCACACTAAACCAGCTTTATTTTCTAAACAAGGAGTGCCCCAACCGTGGCAGTTTTAAGACTTGTGGACTTCAACTCCCAGAATTGCTGGCTTGGGACTTGAAAGTCCATGAGTCTTAAAGTGGCCACCTCGCACATCCCTAGTCTAAAGCACGTTTGAAGCCCAGAATGATGAGCTAATATCTCTTTTCTACACAAGAAGTCTCCAACCTTGGCAACTTTTAAGACCTGTAGATTTCAACTCCCAGAATTCCCCAGCCAACATGGCTGAAGTCCACAAATTTTAAAGTTGTTAAGGTTGCACACTCCTGTTTTAAGCAGTTATAGTCTGCTAGATCTGGATCCCAACGGAAAGCATTGGGGTATTTCAGAGCAGAACAACCGGAATTTCAAAAGGATTTTAATGTGGGTGGTCCTGAGAGCTAATTATGAGTGTGTAATAGGGGAACTAACAAATGAAAAGGAGGGTTTTAAAGGAGGGGGGAGTATTTAAAGTGACGATGGTAAGAATGAGATTCCTCGACTTTTCCAGTCAAAATTCCAAGCGAGCGAGGGGGAAAAATATTTTCAATTTTAAGAGGGGAAAAAACAGAATGCCTTTAGTATGAATGTTGATATTCCCTCTGAAGGAAGTAGAAAGCCACCCAAACAATGTGTAAAATTGGAGCTGTTATTCTGGAAAAATTTGGGCCTGGAAATGGAATCCTTCAGATGATAAAAGAACAGGGTCTGTAGGATTTTTTTTTTAAAAAATGGATTTTAAACCTTTGGCTCGGCTCTTCGACCAACTCATGGGCTGGCTGGGGAATTCTGGGAGTTGAAGTCCACACCTCTTAAAAGCTGCCAAAGTTAAGAATCTCTGGCATAGAGATAAATGCAAAGAAAAAGAAATAAATAATAATAATAAAGACAGCCCTTGTCCTAAGGCTACAGAAACAGGGTAGAAAGAACATTTTTAAAAGCAGAAAGAACATTCCTGAAAGTGTCAGATGATGAGGAATAATAATAATGATGATAAAGTTGGAAGGGACCTCGGAGGTCATCTAGTCCAACCTCCTGCTCAGGCAGGAAACCCTATACCATTTCGGACAAATGGCTGGTGAAATTCTAAGTCTCCCTTCTCCTTCCTGGGAAAAAAGTTTTTGCCTGTTACACGAACCCAGCCCATTGAAGTTTGGGCAATAAACCGAGATGAAGCTGCCTGAATCGGAACAAGGAATTGTGTGAACACTCTTCTGTCCAAACCTGGTAAATTAAAGCACCAATATGGGGCAGAAAGTGGTGGGTTGTCTTTTTTTTATGAAAAAAAAGCCATCCCGTGACCTCAGGATGGGGAATAATTGTGTAAAAAGTGGTGCAGGTGTTTAAAGAAGGAGTTTATTTATTTTGAGTTTATTTTCTGATTGGAAGAGGAAAAAAATGGATTTAGATAGCAGATCTCTTGTATTTAGATCTGCCTCTGGATGGTAATTAAATATAAGTTTTTTAGCAGAGAGTTTTCTGCTATTGGGGTATAAAACAGTCCATGTTTGGAAATTCCTTGAAGGATTTTGGTTTGTAGGAATGGGGGGGGAAAAGAATGTCCCAGCAACAGCTGGATCCCATAAATACATTTTGGGGATATAAAATGAAATTGAACACAGTTTCTTGACCGATGCAGGATTGTGATGGATGCAGGGGCTGCTCTTTACAAACATAGAAATGTTTGTTCACATGGGTGGTTGCATAAAAGTGAGTCTTACCTGGCTTGATCATTGGCAAACCATGGTTTATGGCTCAGCATAGATGGGTACACTATCCAGTGGGGGGTGAGTTGACGGACCAAGGATTAAGCAAACTATGGTTTGATGAAATGTGTCAGCCCAGCCTGTTGACTTGTGGGCATCATTAAAAGAGTTCTTGATATTTGTAGCCTCCATGTTGCGTGTCACAGTAGCTCAGTGTGGTTTCAGGCTCAGCGTTTGTGCATGTGTTACGTGTGCCACAAACGTGTGTGCTTTGGAAACAGTAAAAGGAAGCAGTAATGCCCAAGAGTTTGCTAACTTCTCTCCCTCCAAGATAATTTTCCAATGGACGATTGCTATTTTTGCAAAGTAGCTACGAAACAGGAGTTTGGGCGAGGTGCAATCTTCCCAATAAGGTGTCCAATTTTTGCCTTACCTGTAGTTGTTTGATTGTAAGATAGTCATTGGTGCCTGCAATTTGCACCATTTTTGTAATTGAATTTTTTGGGTAAACAGCCCAGAGGCACTCTCTTGTGATAGGCAGTATAGAAAATTGTTAAAAAAAATAAATAAATAAACATGGAAAGAATAAGCTGAAGATATAGTGATGGACAGATGTAGAAATTTGCTAAATATATACAATAAAAATAAATAAACATGGAAAGAATAGGAAGAAGATGTCCCAGATATACACAAGTGTGGTGGGCAGTATAAAAATTTGCTAAATACATAAAATAAAAATAAACATGGAAAGAATAGGCAGAAGATAGTCTACAATGCACACAAGAGGGGTGGACAGTATAGAAATTTGCTAAATAAATAGAATAGAATACTCTTTATAGGCCAGTTGTGATGGGACACACAAGGAATTTCTCTCTGGTATAGAAGCTCTCAGTATACATACAAGCAACAAAGTAATACAATAAAACATAACTTGTAAAAAAACACATTTATTGTAAAAATAAATAAACATGGAAAGAATAGGCACTGAAGTGTGATAGGCAGTATAGAAATTTGTTAAATGCATAAAATAAAAATATGGAAAGAATAGGGAGAAGATGTCCCAGATATACACAAGTGTGTTGAATAGTGTAGAAATTAGTTAAATACATAAAATAAAAATAAACATGAAAATAATAGGCAGAAGATAGTCTACAATGCACACAAGTGGGGTGGGCAGTGTAGAAATTTGGTAAATAAATAGAACGGAATACTCTTTTATAGGCCAGTTGTGATGGGACACACAAGTACAGAAGCTCTCAAGATACATACAAGCAACAAAGTAATACAATAAAACATGCTTGTAGGAAAAAAACACATTTATTGTAAAAACAAATAAACATGGAAAGAATTGGCAAAAAGTGGCATCTTTCGGACTTGAA